CACACATGCCAACTGTACTTTGATTACTACATGCTGCATAACCTATATTTTCTTTTCCAGCCTTCTTCAGATAAACAGTGGTCTCTGCTGCATATTAGAGATGCTGATAGTGTAGGCATCTGAACTCCATGGATGCTGGAGGGAATGTGAAGCTCAACGTTTGGAGGTAACCGCGCAACGTGACTGCTGAGTTTCTGATCTGCATTTGCTGTCTGCATAGCTCATCAGAACTAGACAGTTAATGCTATCTGGGGCCACACATCCTGTATCTTCTCCCTCTCAGGGCTGTTTACCCAGGTATGATGTCATCCTCTTTCTCCTCCTCCATGCTAAGGGCTTGTTTAGCAGAGATAGTCATCACACATTTTTAGTCTTTAAAGCTGTGCTAATCTCTGCATTGCATCAAACAATTTTTGGCTTTTCAAATGTCCATCTTAAATACACGTGTAGTTCTTACTACCACAGTAACTCCAAGGACCTCAAAATATTTGCTTTGTGAGAAGGAAAAAAAATACAGCTTTGTACCTGGGGAACTGAGACAGAATCAAACTCAAACTCAGTTCTCCTAATGTCCATATCCAAGCCACAGGATTGCCTTTGACGAGATGAGATTATTTTAGTTGGAGGGTATTTCTCCCTGCCCAGGTTTTGCTCCCAATTTCTCTGATTTCTGTTTGGACTTCTTAACCCCCTTTATTACTTTTGCAGATTTCTCAAGCAGTTTGACAGGAGGAAGCTGGAGATTTTCTTTACCCTGCAGGCTAAACTAAATTGAACTAACTAAAGGCTTTTACAACATCTTTGAACTTTTGCGTTTTTGGTTTTTTTTTTTTTCTGGAAAAACTAAGCAAACTCATTCACAGCTGGTAGAGAAATTGGGTTGGTCATTGCAGTAAACACTATGTGTGCTAGCAGCTGTGACTTTTGTTTTCAGTGCAGCAGAGAGATCAAGCAAACGAAGCTGCAGCTATTCAGACTATTTGTCTCATTAGGAAACAGAGGAGTAATTCATTCAGAAATACATACAACTCCTATAGCAGCAGCTGGCTGCAGTGAAACAGGGAATCCATTTTGGTTTTGCTCTGAAACTTGCCTATTCTGACACATTATTGCCATGCGCAGAGACAAAGTGCTGCCAGAAGATGCAGGAAGCAGTGGACTAATCCTGCCAGCTTCAGGCTCACCACATGCACAGCTGTGATACCTGAGCTCCACACTAAAAAGGTTTTAGCAGTCCCAACAAGAATTTGGGATTTCTGCTTTCCTTCATAATAGCCATGATATATACAAACCATTTTCCCATTAGGGCTGCTGGGAACCTGCGAGGACGAGCCTGCCAAGAGCGACAGGCACCACGTGGTTTATCTGCCCTGCCATGCTCAGTGCATCCTTCATCTTCCCAGCACAGCATTTACCAGCCTCTTCTGCCACCAAGGTGTGATTAAAAAGGAGTCCTAAGGATTGGAACTCCTTGCAAACTAACCCCAAACCCAAAGAAGAATCTAAGAGGCTTAAGGAAAAAATGGATATAAAATTTTTTTGTATTCAATCAGAACTGTTTTCAGCTAAGCAAACAAACAACTCCCCAAACAACAAAACCCTCGCTCTGATCAAGGGGAGGTGCATGAAAGCCACTTCCAGAGCTAGGCCTGCATTAAGACCACCTTTCTTCTTCAAGACAACAGCTGTCATTTATGAATTTTATTTTATAAAACAATTTCTTTTTATCATCCATTTAGAGCCGAGATTGGTCGATATTAACAATGGTACTCTTTTTCTTTTTTCTGTGTGGTATCCCAGCGTATTGCTGCTCTAGGCAATCTGTAGTCTTCTAGTTTCTTTAAAGCTGAAGTTTTATTTTCTCAGGGTAGGCAGTTTTGCCACTGAAGCCAATGGTAAAATTTCCTGAAAACCGAGACTGAACGCCTTTCTATATAATTGTATGGCACCTTTGTGGATTTGATTTCTCTATGAAATACCACATTTGATTGACTTTTCTGATTTTCCCCCACATTTATTTTGTATTATCTATGGAAAACAGTATGATGACAAAAATATGGTAATCAAATTATTCTGGAAATACGCTTTCTCTTAAGATGTCACAACTACGGGATGTATGTAAAAAAAATTTAACTTGCAAAAAAAAATCAAATACAGTAACTAGGCAGAATCAACCCATGCTTTTATTTCCATTGCATATAAAATTTCATATGAAGGTATTGATGTACAGTACTATCCCATAGGCTGTAAGAGAGGCTAAGAAACCAGTGAAAGAATAGTCATGTGCAATGTTCACACAAGTTGCCACTCTCAAGACATACCCAAAGGAAAAATCAAATTAAAACAGTAACAAAAAATTGTTCAGGATTTCGGTTGTTATAGTGTCCCTTTTATACCATTTAAAACAAAAGCAATCGATTTACTTTGGGCCAGGGCTGCTAAAATCTACAGTTTGTGTCAAAAAGGAGGCTCTGTTTTTCCTTGAAAAAGAATCTCTCCTTTCACAAAGACGTTGCATGCTACAAGGGCTGGGCATCACTGGAATGGAGGAGAGGTATTTACCTCGCTCTGGCAAATTCATTGATATCAGCTCTGAGTATTCTGGAGCAATGTGACAAGTCAAACAGCAAGAGATGCTCAGTCCAACCTGCAAACCTAATACTAGTGTTATTAAAAGATCTAAAGGTTTACCACGCCCCTGTAGATCTAGTGCATTATGCTATACACACGTGTACAAAGCCTTAGATACATCTGTATAAAATAAAACTTTGGCTGCTTATAACACTAATATTGGTGTTGGAAAGCATTTTCAAGATTAAAATTGTCTTTTGTCCTACTTCATGGATTCTGCTTATACAGTGATAATTTGTGCTACTAAATAAAGAAGGGATATTACAGATGATTGTAAAAGTGTATGAGTGATACCCTTTTAATTCCAATTATTCCATTTCCCAATATGCATTAAAATTAAATGCTTATTAGAGATGCTTTCCAAAGCTCTTTCAGTGCAATTCAGTACTGAAATACAGCAGCATTTTTTTAGAAGCAAAAAATGGCTGCAATAATCCCCAATGATAGCCTGTAAAAAGATAATCAAGAGGCAATACAATTATATTGCCAGAAGTCTGGAAAAGCTTGAACTTCCAGTAAGGTCATGAATGAAAGCTCATTGTAGTATCATGCATATTAGCTCGTACGAGTAACCCCATCAGTTAGCAACTAAAAATATGGTAGAAATGCCCAGCCCTAGCCCCACAGCTACCTTACTTTCAAATGCAGCAAAACAGAAGAAAATATTGTTTAAAGTTAAGGCACAGCCCTGGGACCAAAGACCTGCAGCTTTTTTTATTGATATATCTTTATGTATTTTATACTTTTCTTGAATCTTCCATAAACAAGCTCTAAGGTGACATAGAATATATTACAGGAGAAAAAATGTACAAGGAATATGTATACACAATAATCATTCTCTCACCAAGAGTTTCCAAATATACCAACACCACCCTCACAAGGATGATGTTATAATAAGAACTGATAATTTACAATTAACATTACAGTATGTACATCACAATAAATACATGGTTGTAAACAGAGACAAACAAGACTGTATTACAGGTAAGGTCATTTGGTGAGAAAAATGCATGGCACAAATAAAATAAATAATGCATTTGAAAAGAACTGTCAAAGCTTTCTGTAAAATCCATTTCATTCAAGTTTTTTAAACTTCTGAATGCTATTTGTTCTATCTATATTCTCTCATTATCATTTTTTAATAATGACACAAAACAGTTTAAGAATTCAAATACAGCATTATTGAGTACAGTAACTTGCAAGCTAAAGTGTACTGTTATAAGCAAGGTGAATTTTCTCCCCCCCCCCTCAATACTCACTCACTGCATTTTCTTATGGCAAAAATACTCAGAACACATAAAGCCACTTGCAAATTGCATTGTTTTAAAGCAGTGTCAAATGCTAAAACACACTTTGGCAAAAGAGGAAAAAAAAGATTGTACAGTGCATTATATCCCCAGCTCTAAGAAATGATAAAATTTTCTATTATTTGATTGTCCACATATATGGATGTATATCTCACAATATGGTATTATTCTTTTCATTTACTTTCAGTTAGTGCAGATACAAAACCTTTTCAGGTCCCTATTGATTATTTCGGAATTTATATTGCTCTTCCATTATTAAAGTTCCAGGCACTCTTGGGGACTGAAAGGATTTTTAGATGGATCAGGTTCAGGAAGAAATGATGAACAAAAAAGAGAGTCAAAAACTGAAAAAAACCCATGAGTTCTCATCATTGTCTTTCCTCCTTCAGCATCTTCTGCGCTAAGGCCCTGTGAGGGCTAAAGGTAAACAAAACTATGACCTGGATATAGAATAATGCAAAATGCATTTAATGCATTTAAAAGCTGAATTATTAGCCAATCATGTTTAAACAGCTTTTTATTCTAGATCTCAGACACTTAAACTCCCCCCGTATTCATATCTCAAATTTACTACAGAATGAATCCAAAGGGGAAATAATGGCTGTTGCTATCTTCTTTTGTTAAGAAATCATCTTGGTATTGTCATTTTACCAGAATTTTATGGAGTGGGAGTCTGCTAGCTTCCCTAGGCAACTATTTCCCATCTTCCACGCTCAAAACTACTAGTAAAGCGGAGGAAAAAAAAATTCCTTCATCTTTCATGTGACCAAACAACAGGACTGGAAAATGATAAATACAAACTCCTACCTCCCTTTAACTTTCCAAGTTAGAGAAACTTTCAGTACCAATCAAACTGAAAAGCAGGATTCCCTCAGCACAAGCTGGATAAAGCATGAAAAGATCCGAGATTGAAATAATGTGGAGTAAACTACAACTCTCATGATGCATTGCTCATTTACTTAAAAACATAAAAAGAAAAGACTGACCTGGCTCTTCTTGCAACAAAGACATGAAAAAATAATGCTAATCATTATATTTATGCTGTACACATCACTGAAAAGCAGGATTCCCTCAGCACAAGCTGGATAAAGCATGAAAAGATCCGAGATTGAAATAATGTGGAGTAAACTACAACTCTCATGATGCATTGCTCATTTACTTAAAAACATAAAAAGAAAAGACTGACCTGGCTCTTCTTGCAACAAAGACATGAAAAAATAATGCTAATCATTATATTTATGCTGTACACATCTCTGATTAGCAAATGGTTTAACTAGATAGCTGACACAGATAAAAAGTTATTAAGAGAGTTAAAATTGGAAATACTACACTAATGCTTTTTTTGCCAGAACAAATACTCCATACATTGTATTGGCCTGTTCTGATTTAGCAGTCTATAGCTCCCACGCAAAAAAGGTCTGGAAACCATGTTTCAGAGGGAAAAATTTTAGTAGTATAGCAGAAGAGCTGCTTTTGTATTAAGATGACAATTCATTACCTTTCTTACAGGCTCTAGTCCTGCAAATCCTAATCTTAGTGGTCCCAGTCGTTTTCACTGGGCCCACTTCTTGTAGTAAGACAGAATTGGCAGGATCAGGCCACTATGAGGGCAAAAGCACAACGTAAGTTCCTCTAATACGTTTGGGAAAACTGTGATGAAAAACAAACAAACAAAAAAGCCATCATACTAAAAGAGTTTTATGTAACATAAAGGATATTCATGGAACTCACTAATATATAAAATAATAGACTTTTACAGCTCAATATTACTATGAGATTCTAAGGTGCAAAAAAAAAAAAAAAAAAAGGAAAGGAAAAAAAACCTAGAAGTATTATCCAGTGTAGCACAGATTGTACTGAAAACTTGCAAGTTACTCTTTGGAAAAAAAATAACCAGTGGCAGATGAAGTCTGAAGGTGTTTGTCTTTAAATATAATACCTCGGTACATTTAATAATAAAAGTAAGCTCTACAAAAGATCTCTCTTTTACATATTATACAAAATGCAGAGGTTAGCGCAACCCACTGGGTCACACTTTTTTCAGTCACGTATCAGGAAGACTTGAAATTAGAAAATTATGCAATTTCCACAGCTCATCTTCCTATTGGTAACAGAATCATGTTGTGTCCCATCATTTATGTGCATTTGTTTTCCAGTAGGAACCTCAGTTTATTTTCTGTTTCCTCTCATGATGAACATTATCCAATGCTCTGGTTGTGAAATAAAATGAATTCAAAAACTATCAAAGCATACCAGCATTCAGTTGGCAGGTGGTACTCCTCTGAAAACATTTGCTTTATTTAATCAAATCTGCCAAATGGAGAGCTTATTAAAATGTAGTTTATGGATGTTCTTCCCCCTGCTTTCTGATGCCATGGAGGTGAAAATTCTTGTTACAATATTCCTGAGTGCCAAACTGAGTCATCAAGGTCAGTTTTGATCAACAAACGTCCTGGCAGATGACAGTGAGTTGTGACCATGGTTGTAGCATACGACATACACTTTGGAAACCATTACCTAATAAACAAAACAAAACAAAAAAAGAGAGAAAGAGGAAAAGAAAGGGAGAGGGCAAGAGAGAAAGAGACTGCGTCTTCATTGTTACGTGTCAGGAGAATGGTCTTCTACCACAGAAGGTTCTGTCTGGTTCTCCTCCTCTTCTACTTCTTCCCCTACTTGTTCATCAAGAGGAATTTCAGTGGATTCTGAATCCTGGGTGCAAAGAGTCTTGCAGTCACTGCAGCTGGTGTCTTCTTCTACTTGACTTCCACTGTCCTTTTCGGTGTCTGACTCACCGTCTTCCTCCAGTGTTAGTTCAAACTGGAATTTTTCAGTTTGGCCCTGCCTACCCTCTTCCTGGTCATCAGGTGCAGGAGAGGGACTTTGAGGGATTGTGCTCTGGTACCATTCTCGATTGTCCTCCAGTGTATCTAAGATATCCTGGGCATCTGGGTGAACAAGATCTGCCCATGTCTCCCACAGAGGATGAACAATGTAGTCTATAAAACCCACCTGTTTCAAATAATACAAAATTAGGATGAGCTCCTACTGACAAAGAAATAAACAACTATGCCTGTCACGCAAAGTATGAGAAATACAACGCTAGTAAGAGACATTAGATGCACTACCCTTAAAGGTGGCTGAAAGGAAACCATGCTGTTTTAGGTAGTAAACAGGGTCTTTTACATTTCAAAAGTCTGATTCAGGATATTGGATAAGGACTTGGAAAAGATTTGTTTTCAAATGAACTGTTTATTCCAAACAACTCCACTGTATCTAGTGAGCCAAACAGCTGCTTTATATTTAATTCTGCTTTTGAAGGAAACCCTAATGAGCAACTGTACAATACTCTCTTTTGACATGTATGCTTCATTGCAGATCACGACAACGGTGGAATCCCTTCAGAAAACACACTGCCATGCACTATGTTTTCACAGTAAAAATCTCAGCTCCCCTCACTTACTACTCAGGAGCTGAATTAATTAACTAGGAGGGAAAAAAGGAAATAGTGCATTCAGAAATTAATCAAAACATGGCTATGGACCATCCTTTTCTGTTAAAATGTCATACTGTGTTATTTAACTGCCTACTCAAATCAATTACCTGTGATTTTTCTACAGATGCATTGTGCTTATCACACATGGGACTTATCTCCATTCCCCTCTCTCTTTCCCGATCTCCCTGACGGAAAAATTCCTCCATTATTCTGTCTGTCCATTGGCGGTAGAGATGGAGCGGCTTGGTTGGATTGCTTAGATCTGCACAGTGCACCATATTCTGAAGAACCTAAAATAGATTGAACACCTGCAGTGTTATTACACTGGAGAAAACCAGCTCCTTTTCCATTTACACTTTTGGTGGCTGCGAAACAGGATCTTGAAAATACATGTAGCGCAAGATTTATTCTAAACAGCAAAAACTTATGTGCTTGGGTGTTTTGCACACTTGCAGTAATCGCCATGAATCACCTCGCTTCTGCCTGTATAAGGGACAGAAAATCTTTGAGAGAAAGACCAATCAGGTGCTGATAATCTGAAGGGAAGGCCAAAGCCTCATTTAGTCCAGAAGTACTCTAGCACCTCGTTACTCTCTGAGAGAGTCACTCAGTATGTAACGGAGTATGTCACAGGTAGGAAACATAAGAGGGAGTAAAGGGAAGGTAGTGAGTCACGGTGTGAGAATGGACAGCTGATCTAACCCATGCTGGAGAATGGGCAGGCCAATGTTATTAAGGATGTAAGTTAACACAAGTGACCATTTGCAGATGAATTTTCTTACCTGAATCCTGTCTGAATAGTTATCAAGAAGCAGTACACCAGAACTGGTCACTTTTTTGGTTTCAACCATGGTTTTTAAATCAGCCAATAGATTCATATGCTTAGACATGTCTGTTGCAAGTACCTTGAAAGAAACAAATAAATTAATATTACATAAATTATTCTACTGATTTTTAAACAAATCTTTGAACACATAAACAAACAGTTCTGGGGGGAACCTGTAATTCCTGTGTCTGAATACACTATAAAAGTCTGAATCCTGTATGTCATTAGTGTCCAAACTAGTAAGTTTCACGTTGGTTATTTTAAGAATATGACAAAATGATTGTTCAGAATTGTTCAGAATGATCAGCCTAAATTCATCATGAATTCAGTAGCAAATTTCTAACTGTGATGGTGAAATGGCTTGAAGCAGGATTGTATACCTTCTAAAAAGGTATAGATGGTTACTGAAACTGAAAAGAACGCACTATTCATGTTTGGATAAGACACGATAAAACTTCAAACTTTTACTTCATTGATTATGGATCTAATTACATGTAATTTATCACAAAATGCTTCTGTGCTTTATTCAGTTTGCTAGCATTATGGAAAAGGGACTCTCAAGCAGAACTCACAATGTCAATGACCATTTTTCTCAATGATTGCCTCTGTTTTTTGGTCAAATTCTGGAAAATGTCACAATTTTCTTCCTGCAGTAGCTTGAAGCCCACAGCTAAGTGATGATTCTCCAGTACTGATGAGTCATTGTACATCAAGGCGAGTTCAGAATCTGAAATAACAATCGCAGGGCAGAACGTTACTAAAGCCTGTGTTTCTACCAAATCCTTTAAGATTTTCTAAATTCATTACATCCATAACAACATTTACAGATGAACTTTTAGAAACATAGTTTCTGTAGTTCACACAATATCAAAAGTTACAGAATTAATGACTGAACATCTTAACAAATCAAGGCAAAGTATGCTGAGGAAAATAAAGAAAATGCTTTGCAGTGAAGCATGTACATGTGCCTAGAGCGGCAAGTTAGAAAAAATACGAGGAAGGTATTTTTCAGAATACATTTTCATATCTGCATGAGGTCACATGGAGAATACTATACGCATAAACACACCTAAACTAAAACACACTGTGATGTTTTCTCTTCTCATGCCTCCCTCCCATCACAACTACTACAATTCCATTGTTTAAGTCAAGTTGCAGCTATCCAGCACTCAGACTGGGAATACACAGGCAGAGAGCACACACCTTGGTTTTCAAGCCATGTCCTTCCGCAGTTAGCTAAGGCAATCAGATGACTAGCCAGCTAGGCCTACGGGTCATTAGTCCATGACAAATGGATATTTTGAGAGGAGGCTGGTAGGACTGCAACGGTTATGCTTCTGGTCTTTTTCTTGGAAGGTCATGTGGCTTGAAAATGCAAGCAGTGGCCTTGCCTACTGCCTTGTGCTTGAGCACGGTCAACGCCTGATGCCGTAATGCTGCCTTCTCCAACAGAAGTATTCTTAACTTGGTCACTCCGTATGGCTATGAGAATAACATACACCTTCCTAGCAATGCCTGTGCTAAGGCACACACAGAAGGTCTGCATTTGTCTGCTTAGACCTGCTGAACAGCCCACTCTGACAAATAAAAGCAGTTACGACAATTTTCTGCACAGCTTTAGATTCTACCCAGGGATACCACACAGTCAGCTCGCACATGTTTTAAGACACAGCTTGGAAATTAGTCTGTCATAAAAACCAAATACTTCCTATGCAATCACACCTGTCATGTGTGATATTAACTTCTATTTATTACAGCTGTTCTACCCTAAATCTAACCATACATCAGTCTATTCTACTCTTCGTCCTCTTTATCTTCTTTTACAGCAGCTTTGTTTTAAAAGCTCTCTGGCTCAATGAGGTGCCTATAAAAGCTCTGCTCTTCAGATTTCATTAGTCTCTCCATTCTCCTGCTGTCTTCCTCTCCTGTCTTGAATACATCAATCTTTTCAATCAGGAAACCCTTCCTCTACCTTTCCTTATCCTGATGGCAGCAAAACCTTAATAGCAAAAGGAAAAAGGAATTGAGTTTGTCAAATGATGTCTCTTTCATCTTTCACAGAACATTTACAAAGCTTACCTATTTGTTATTTTTCCTACAAAGACGACAGGCACTAGTTTATTTTCCTTTCAAACAGCCTTCTGATGAGCCCCAACTGCAAAACACTCAACATTGCCAAAACACTTTGGAAGGGCTGGAGCTACAGACAGAGCTAAAATGTGCTCAACCTTGTAACAGAGGTGGAAATGGAAGAAGTTCCCCTTCGGTAATCTTTGTAACACATTATAAGCTTCAAGAGTATTTGTCCGGAAGGACAGAGTTAGAGTGATCAAATAAGCATCTTCTCTGATGCTAATACAATCCATATTTGTTTGTTCTTCAACAGCATTCAAGGGGGATCAGACTTTTAGACAACTGTGTAAATAGACTTTAAATCCTTAAATAGGGAAATAATATTCAGAAATATCACATGTAAGTAATTATAAAGAATAAGCCGAAATATGGCAAATATGTACATACTTTAAGTAACTGTAAGTCTATTATGCATTTAAAAAATGTATTCTTATACTTAGTGAAATGTTAATATATTGTAAGGTTCACTGGAAAACAAAACTAGGTGGAAGCAAATGATCTTCTAGAGGTTAGGAAAATCTAGGATTTGAGAGACCTAAATTAGATGGTCTTTATCTCTGTCTCTGTCCCTACAGTTTCTTCTTTGTATACGGAACAACTCAAAAGGGATAAAATCCCTTTGTCTCTTTCAGCTTGGCAACAGCAGTTCCAGTTAGCGATGTTACTTGATTGACATGGAAGCCTTCTCTATCAAAAGCTGAATTGAGAAAAATAGGACATTTCCTCTAAGCCACTAAATAAGCAGCATCAGAATCACTCCTAACTTAGCTGAATTTCAACCATCTGCCTAAGAGTGAAAGCTTTATGTATCACTACTGGTCCCTTCAACTAGCCAGTCATCCTGCTTAAACCTGAACAACTCAGTGGTTTCCCTGTAGCACCTCAGAGCCACCAATATATCCTGATATTCAATTTCTGATTAAACAAATAAAAAATTTACTTATATATGCCCACTCTTAAGAATTTAGGTATTACACACTGTTTTGTGCACAAAGCTTGATTCACCCTCTTCCTATACTACGCTGCCGAACTGGTTACCTATAAAGCACCAGAAATCTAGAGTCAATCCCAATCCTCCTCCTTGCAGATCAGTCATCAAATTGAATTTCACTACAGGGCAGCCCTCAGGCCATTAGGGCAAATAAAATCAGATGCAGGCTAAACTAGAGGCCTTATTTGAACATACAGCAGCAATGAGTCAGAAGAGGAGCTCCCTTCTTCAAACTATACTGCTGATTTGCAGTCATACTATTTTAGCACCAGTGCAACAGATTCACCCAAGTGCAGGAATGACAGTATCTATAAATGTGCAACCAGATGGGTCAAATACACAACCCTAGGTATGTTTCCATGTCTGTACCTTTTTCTTCTTCTGTGCTTGGATTATTAGTATTTGTCCTGGTTTTGGCAGGGATAGAGTTGATTTTCTTCCTAGGAGCTGGTACAGTGCTGTGTTTTGGATTTCGGACGAGAACAATGTTGATAACACACCGATATTTCAGTTGTTGCTAAGTAGTGCTTACACTAGTCAAGGACTTTTCAGCTTCCCATGCTCTACCGACGGAGAAGGCTGGAGGTGCACAAGAAGCTGGGAGGGGGCACAGCCAGGACAGCTGACCCCAACTGGCCACAGGGACATTCCATACCATGTGACGTCATGCTCAGTACATCAGCTGGAGAAAAGCTGGCCGGGGGGAGCCGCTGCTCGGGGACTGGCTGGGCATCGGTTGGCGGGTGGTGAGCAACTGCATTGTGCATCGCTTATTTTGTATATTCTTTTATTATTA